CGGCAAACAGCCGCTGAGCTAGGCACAAGCGCCGGTTGCTGGGGAGCTGGGAGGCCCAGGCACCTTTGAGCTCCACACTGCAGTGTTCCAGCCCTAGCCCGCGCAGAGCTCCCCGGGGCTCCCCGCATCGCCCCTCGGAGGGCCTGGCACACACTGCACTCTTCTCCCAGCAGTTCCTTTGGCCTTCCTCAAGAGCAGAACCACATCTTGAAAACTGCAAGGTCCCTGGAGTAGTTTTTGAGTGACCAGAGCTATGCCAAGCAGGCTATTTTTGTTAGTGAGTGAGCAGCTGCCAAGAATATTTCAAGGAGATTTACTCCTTCTCTCACAGCTGCCTATACCAGAGCTCTCTGTTCCCATCAGAGCCTGCGCCTCCCATGAAAACCCCATCACAGTTTGTGATCTGAGAGGAGCCTGTTTGCCTGAAGGAAGAAAATCCTCTGTTTTTTCTGCCAAGCTTTCTCGCTGGTCCGGGATGTGTCCCCCTGCCCTGGAAATGGGGATGGAAGTGTAGGGGCTATTAGCTGAGCCCAGCCTGGACCCTGCCCAGCAGTTTGCCTGCAGTTTGAGGTGCCATGTCCTGTGGCCCCTACCCTCTGACAAGCTGATAGTGTCTGCACTGAGTCATGGGGCGTTTGACCCCACAAGGCCAGGAGACCATAGTATAATTCTGGCCCTTTCCAGTTCCTTGACCCAAAGCTTCAGTTTTAGCCAAAATGTCTTGAGACTTGGTTTGGTGTAAATGCTGGCCACATGGTACTGTGACAAGAGCTCTAAGCTGGGAGCCAGAGACCTGGGTCTGGGTTCAACCACTCACCAGCTATGTGACCTGGGTCTGGGCCTCAGTTTCCTCCTCTGTCACAAGAGGGCTGATGTACAGACTCTCCAAAGGCTCTTCACATTGCAGTATTATCTAGTTGTGTGGGTTAGGAGCCTGGTTATGGAGCCAGAGTTCCTGGGTTCATCCCAGCTCTGTGACCTGAGGCAAGTTACTCAAGTTCTTCAACCTGACTTCCCAGGATTATACATAGGGATTACACTAGTACTTACCTCATAGGATTCTTATGAGGATTAAAGAAGCACAAAAGTGTTTACAGTGGTGCCTGGCACATAGTAAACGTGCAATAGTTGGTGGTAGTGGTCTTGGTCTTGTTTTTATCGCTAATTACCACGCTGAGCCTAGCCTTAGCTATCAGGGATAGAGGCCTCCTGTAGAAACAGCTGTACTGGCAGCACTGTGTCCTCCTGAATCAGTGAAGTCAATTACTTACAACAGGAAAACCAGTTACCTCAGAACCGAAGTTCACATGAAGCCCCCTCCAGCCCCAGCCTCAGCTCAGCCCAATCCTGGACCTACCCCAGGCCTGAGGCTTCTCAACCATGCCCGGCCCCAAACTCCCTCCCTCCCAAGCTCAGGCAGACCCCTGGGCCTGAGGGGTGGGTTAGCACACCAGGGCCTCACAAGTCCGGAATCACCGGACAATTAAACTTGCCTTTTATTGTGGTCCTGAGGATTATAAACAAGCAGGCCTGACATATGGGTCATTCCTGAGACTCCTGCTCTATTGGCTTTAAGGTCCCCTTGGTGGTAAAGAATTTCAAAGCTGCTAACACCATAGTATATTAAAGTGGAATAAATTCCGCTGAATGGTCCTCAGGTGAGAACCAGTGCTGAGCAAGTACCTCATGGCTTCCTCTTGTAGGACCCAAGACTGACCCCTGGTGGTCTCTATGACTTGCTGAAGCCCAGACTCCCATGGCCATCCTAGAGAATCTTCTGTGTCTGAATCTGGCATTTCTCTCTCTCTCTCTCTCTCTCACACACACACACACACACACACATTCTCTTCTCTCTCTCTTTCTTAGAGATATTCAGATTCCTCTATGAGAGGAATCGCTCACAGAGGCATTCTGGCCCCTATGTCTTCATTTGTTCTGCCCTCTCTCCTGGAATGCCTTTCCCTACCTTTCCCTAATAATCTTGTTTATCTGTCAAGGCCAACCACAAATGCCTCTCCTTCCTAAAGCCCCTAAAGGCAACCCATTTTTCCCAGCTGACAATGAATTGCACCCTCCTCTGGGCGCACACCTGGACTTTTACCCTCCCTCTCAGTCCTTCCCACCTAGAATCAGAGAAAGTATGTGCACACCTGCCTCCAATACCAGCCTCTGAGGTCCTTAGGACATGGGCTCCTTCTGGGTCATGCCTGGTGGGGTGTATACACGTCGGTAAATGCTTGATGATTTAGTTCATGAGTGGATCCTATTGACAGAGATGCCTAGGAGGGTTTCCTTTGTTCTATCAAAGAAAAGACAGAGGTCATTTTCTGAGTCCCTCGGGAGTGGGAATGGCATTAGAGGGAAAGCTTCAAAGCGAGTGCTCAAAGCAAAGAGTGGCAGAATATTCCAAGCTCAGACCCACCTTCCTGCCTTCACCCTCTGCACAGACGTTGGAGCCCCACTTCTGGCACATGGCCAGGCAACTACCACTGGGCTCATGCTGCACACCCGGCCTTAAAATCAGAACTAAAGAGCTTGGTCCCACACTGTGTCTACACAATCTATGCCTTCAGGGCTAGTGTCTAGACAACCTGCAACTTAATAATACACACCACATACTGTGCATTTGTAACTCTTGTATGTGAAGTTCATATCTCTACAATCCAGTTCTGTACCCTCTATGTCTCTTTAACATTTGTCTCTACAATGTACCTGCACACTCCATGTGTACAACTCCCCTGTACATAATCCTGTCCTGGGAAGCACACATCTGCACAACAAGCTCATGCTGCCACATGGGTTTCTGCACACAACGTGTCAGGGCAAAGAATGGATGGCCAAGAGGAGGTGTTTTGCTTGTGACTCATTTTGAAAAGAATGCCTTCATCCTCAATTCATACTCCAGCATGGTGACTGCAAAAGCCATCTGGATTATTCCTCCAGAAATGATTCCTTTATCTCAGTACTTCATAAAGACAAGAAACAAGTTAAATGAGAAGAGCTAAAAACCTTACCAAGAAATAGCATAAAAAAGAGATTCTCTATTATGTTTTTGAGGTAATCAAATTCACTATATTTCTCTTGTAAAATAAACTTTGAAATAAAATAAAACATATCTCCAGCTAGCCTTCTCTTTTAAAGTAGTTCACACTGTCTGTTTATACTGAGCTAATTAGCACGATATCAGTGATGTCATAGCTAACCAGTCAATTATCACAAGGGTTAAGGTTAGGTAAGGTAAAGATCAAACTTCTGCAAAAAATAGAGTTTACAACTTAAAGCAAAAAAGAAAAAGACAGTTTTCCCCCCAAAAAAACCCATGAAATAAATATTCTTTATTACAATAAAGATATTCTAATAAATGTTTCCTATAACAATTTTAGAGTTTTGAGCTTAAAAATATTAATGTTTAAAAATTAAACATTAAAAATGTTTAAGGGAAGGCTTTTTGTCCATCTTAATAAACAGACTTAGAAACTCAATTTTATGATGACAAGATATAGAATAAGCATAGATTTAACTTAAATTTTAAGGTATAGACTAAATAGTTGCTAAGATTCTAGCCATCTATTCTTGTTTCTCAGTGGAATGCTGCTGGCATTTGGGGTTAAGAATATTCTCACCATGTGTCAGGTTGTCCCCTGCATTATGGGATATTTAGCATTCTTGGCCCTGTCTACTGAGTACCAAAGACACCCCCCAGTCAGTGTGACAACCATAGCCACTCCCAGACATTTTCAAGCACACCCCACGGGGTGGTACTGACCCCAATTAAGAAGCACTGGTCTCAACAAAGCTTAATTGCTTATCCAGAGCTCTACATTGTCAAAGCAGGTGGGTGGGTAGCTCTTTTAAAGTTTTCCTCAAGGTTTTTGCTAAAATCCTGTAGGCTTTGGCTTTAACTTTAATTTTTATTGAAATTTTTATTGTGATGATTATAAAATCACATGCAGTTATAAGAAATAATAGAGTCTTTGTACACTATTCCCAGCTTCCCCTAGAGGTAACCAAATGTGTTTTGTTTTGCAATACTATAGTATAAAATCAAAACCAGCATACTGGCATTGATACAATCCACCATCTTATCCTAATTTCCCCTGTTATACCTGTGCTTATTTGTGTGTGGGGGGTGATGATCATATATTGTTATCACCTGTGTTATACTCATGCCTCTACCATACAGTGAAGACATTTCAACACCATCAGGATCCCTCATCTGACCTTTCATAATCACACCTATCTTCTTCCCATGCCACCTCCCTTCCTCTAGGCCCTAACTCCAGGCAACCACCAGTCTGTCTCCCAATTCTAAACTGCTCTCATTTCAAGAATGTTATATAAATGAAATCATGCAGTATGCAACCTCTTGGTATTAGCTTTTCTTATGCAGCAAAATTCCCTGCAGATTCATCCAAACTGTTGCATATATGAATACAGGTAGTTTGTTCCTTTTATGGTTGAGTAGTATTCCATGATATATATGTGCCACAGATAGTTCAACCATTCGACTGTTGAAGGACATCTGGACTGATTCCAGTTTTAAGCTATTACAAATAAAGCTGCTATAAATATCTATGCACTGGTTTCTCTGTATTTCTCCAGGATAAATGCCACAGAGTGTAATTGCTAAGTGGCATGGCAGTTGAATTTTTTTCAAGAAACTGTTAAACTGTTTCCTAGAGTGGTTGTGCCATTATTTTGATATTATATATTCTGCCCATTTTCTAATTACATTGTTTAGCTTTTTTACTGTTGAGTTTTGAGAGTTCTTTATATACTCTGGATATCAGTCTTTTGCCAAATATGTGGTTTGCAAATAATTTTTCCCAGTCCACAGATGTTTTCTCATCCTCTTCACATGAGATTTCACAGAGCAAGAGTTAATAATTTTGATGAGATCTATCAAATTGTGCTTTTGTTGTCAAGTCTCAGCACTTTTCCCTAGCTCTAGATCCCAAAGATTTTCCTGTTTTTTCTAAAAGTTTTGTAGTTTTATGTTATTTAAATCTGTGATCCATGTTGAGTTAATTTTTGCATAAGACATGAGACTTAGGTTGAGTTGGGATTTTTGTTTTATGCTTTTGTGTCCAACTGCTCCAATGCCATTTGTTGGAAAGTCTACTTAAATTTAATTTTAATCTAGGCTAAATTAAAGACATTTGAGGTTTATAAGTATTTCCCACACATGCACCGGAGTAAGCAACACAGTTCATTAACGGTCAACACAAGCTTACATATTTGTACCTCGTTACTAACCATTTAAAGCCAGGCATGGTGGAACGTGCGTGTAGTTACAGCTACTCATGAGGAGCAGCTGAGATGGGAGGGGTTGTTTGAGATTAGGAGTTTGAGGCCAGCCTGGACAACATAGAGAGACTCCATCTCTAAAAAAGAAAACAGAAATGAAATGAAACAGGAAATGAGCAAAAGTCATGAACAATTCACCTAAAAAAGATACTAAATGACCCTAAGCACTTATGAGAAGTTGTTCAACTCATTAGAAGAGAGATGCAAATTAAACCTACATTGAAATGACATTTATCACCTATGAATAATGAGCAAAAATCTTAGAACTTGGCAACACTCTATGTTGGCAAGGCTGAGGAGAAACAGACACTCTTACACATTGCTGGTAGGAATGCAAAATGACACAGCCTTATAGAAAGGAATTTGGCAGCATTTAACAACACTCTATATGCATTTACCTTTTGTTCCAGAAATCCCACTTCTAGGAATTTACTCTAAAAATATGCCTGCAAAAATACAAAATTACATACGTACAAGTTTCTTCATGCAGCATTGTCTTTGCAAAATATTGGCAATAACCTAAATGCTCATAGATAGGAGGTTTACTGAATAAACTAAATTATATCCAAACAATGAGGTGCTGTGCAGTGGTAAAAGAGAATGAAGATGAAGCAATATGGAGTGATTTCCAGGACATATTAAGTGAAGAAGCAAAGTGCAAAAGAGTATACATAATAGTCTACCTTTTGTGTAGGAAGAGGAAATAAGAAAATTACATGTATGCTTACTTAGTTGTGAAAAGAAATTGAGAAAAGATAAGCTGAGAACTAAGGAGAATGGTTCCCTACAGGGTAGATAGGAACCAGGTTAGATAGAGGAGGAATATGTCAGTGAGGATAAATTGTAATATAGTTTAGAATTTGAAATCATGTTAATGTTTTAAATACTTTTTAAAAAATTGAATCAAATCAATTAAAATGACAGCTTAAAAACTCTAAAATAGAATATAAACAGGAAAAAAACAGCCTAATCATAATATAGCATAACCATACTGAAAGGAAAAAACAAGAGAACTAATAAAGTCAAGAGAAAAATCGAGTAACTTTTGAGCCCAGTCCTTTGACTATATCCTCAATCTAAAGACAGAAAGAACTGTCAATAAATAATTCCACTTATAGGTTTGTATTTTGCAGTAACATGAGGTAGCAATCCTGAAACTACTTTCTGTGAAAAATAGGACTAAGCAAATAAATAAATAGATTGAAATGGTGCGTATTAGTTCTCTAAAGGGACAGAATTAATAGGATAGATGTATATATAAAGGGGAGTTTATTAAGGAGTATTGACTCACAGGATCACAAAGTAAGGTCCCACAATAGGCCCTCTGCAAACTAAAGAGCAAGGAAGCCAGTCCAAGTCCCCAAGCCTCAAAAGTAGGGAAGCCAACAGTGTAGTCTTCAATCTGTGGTTGAAGATCCAAGAGTCCCAGAGCTGAAGAACTTGGAGTCCGATGCTTGAGGGCAGGAAACATCCAGCCCAGGAGAAAGATGGAGACCAAAAGACTTAGCCAGTCTAGTCTTTCCAGGCTCTTCTGCCTTTTTATTCTGGCCTCACTGGCAGCTGATTAGATTGTGCCAACCAAGATTGAGGGTGGGTCTGCCCTTCCCAGTCCACTGACTCAAATGTTAATCTCTTTTGGCAACACCTCACAGACATGCCCAAGAACAATGCTTTGCATCCTTCAGTCCAATCGAATTGGCACTCAATATTAACCATCACATGGTGGAAGCCAGATTTTTCACTGTGAGAGATGACTGCTACAAATACAGAATGGGAGAAGCTTAGAATGAATCCCATGATGTAGAATTGAAATTAGAAGTAATGGATAGATAGATGTGTATGTGTGTGTACACCATGTGTTCTAGAACTGTAAACTGAAAACTCCTATAAGTTATGATATGCCACTAGGAATAAGCATATCTACTACCAGATCTTTTTTTATTTATGTTGTTGAGACAGGGTCTAGCTCTGTCACCCAGGCTGTGTAGTACAGTGGCACGATCTCAGGTCACTGCAATCTCTGTCTCCTGGGCTCAAGTAATCCTCCCACCCCCCAAGTAGCTGGGACTACAGGCACGTGCCACCATGCCCTGCTACTTTTTGTATGTTTAGTAGAGATGGGGTTTCGCCGTGTTGGCCAGACTGGTCTCGAACTCGTGGCCTCAGGTGATCCACCCGCCTCAGTCTCCCAGAGTGCTGAGATTACAGGTGTAATCAGCCTTCCCAGTAGATGGGACTACAGGCACACCACACCCTGTATTTTTTGTAGAGATAGGGTTTTGCCACATTGCCTGATCTTGAACTCCTGAGCTCAAGCAATCTACCCACCTTTGCCTTCCAAAGTGTTGGGATTACAGGTGGGAGCCACTGCGCTGACCCAGGTCCTTTAAACATTGTTTCTTACAATGTTATGAGAAAGCAGGTTTTCTTGAAGAAATGGCTGATTGCAAATTTGAGACAAGAAGAACCTGGGATATTTTGTCACAGAAAGTAAAGAAATGCAAAAAAAAAAAAACATAGACGCCAATTTGAGGGGGCTTCTCCTGGCCAAATCTGAGTCAATGTGAATATCAAAATACACAGCAACAGTAACGACTTAAAACTCACTGAAGGCTGGGCACAGTGGCTCACACCCGTAATCCCAGCACTATGGGAGGCCGAGGCAGGCAGATTAGCTGAGGTCAGGAGTTCAAGATCAGCCTGGCCAACATGGTGAAACCCCATTTCTAGTAAAAATACAAAAATTAGTCTGGCATTGTGGCATGTGCCTGTAACCCCAGCTACTTGGGAGTCTGAGGCAGGAGAATCACTTGAACCTGGGAGGTGGAGGTTGCAGTGGGCTGAGAACCATGTCACTAAAGCCTGGATGGCAAGAGTGAAACTCCATCTCAAAAAAGAAAACAAAATTGAATAAAATAAGACTCTATGAGGGTATGCTGATATGATTAAATAAATGAATAAATAAGTGGAAGATAAGAGAAAGATCTTTCTTATAGAATTATACCAACAAATTAATGTAGAAAAAATGATGGAGTTTGGTAAATGACCATTTTGCAATCATCATAATAGATTCAAGAGTTAAACAAAGTTTATGGGAGTCCCCTGTTTTGGATGAGCCTCCTGCACCAGGCCCGAGCAGACCAGACAAACCACAATGGAATTTTTTGTGCTGAGTGCCATGTCATCAAACCGAACTTTGAAATAGGCAAGTTTTCCAAAAAAACAGGAGATTCCAGTCTACCTGAGTCAGCATAATAAGGAAGTCCCCTGTGCTGTAACTCCATAAGAAGAACAACTTTGAAACAACCAATCTACTTTTCATTCTCTGTTTCTGCCTTCTTCAGCCCTTTTCAGCCTATAAAGTCGATCTCTTCTGCTCAGCTCATTAGAGCAGTCATTCTTAATGAGATGTTGCCTGATTCTGGAATGGCAAATAGAAGTCAATTCAATCTTTAAACTAAATTTGTTGTAATTTTGCCTTTTGACAAAGAATTATCAATGGGTGCTAAAACTAGTGGGTGATGGTTCAATAAGGAATAGGATATTTGCCTAGTTTTAAAGTATCTTTCCACATATTACTTATTAATTACACAGGGGAAAATAATAAGTCACTGTGCTAATTACACCTGGAGGACACCAATGTAACCAAGGGATCAATGCCACCATCACCCATGAGGCAAAGCAACCACACATGCCTTCGAATACCATGTTCTGAGAAGGACACAACATATATCTTCAAGCTCAATGAAGATCTGAATCTCATCATAAGGAAACATTAGACAAACCCAAACGGAGGGACAATTTGCAAAATCACTGACATGTACTCTTCAAAAATATCAAGGTCAAAAGCTGAGGAAATGTTCCAAATTAAAGCAGACTAGAGAGATATGACAACTAAATGCAATGCAGGAATCTGGGTCAAACCTTGGACCAGGGGAGAAATTGCTATAAAGGCATTTGGCAAAATTTAGATTTGGACTGAAGATTAGATGACAGCATTGTCAGTGCCAAATTTCCCAATTTTGATCATTGTACTGTGGTTATATAACAAAATGTCCTGTTCTTATAAAATACACACATATATTTGGAGGTAAAGGAATATAATGCTACTTACTCTCAAATGGTTCAGGAAAAAAATATTAATATTTAGAATAAATAATAATGTAAATGGCACAAAATGCTAACTTGGTGACTCTGTGGGAAGGGTATATGGGAGTTCTTTGCACTATTGCAATTTTCTGTATGTGTAAAATTATATCAAAATTAAAAGCTACCTCCAAAATCTTTTTCCATAAGTTGAATTTTTTCTTAAGTGAAATTCCACCTGGAAGTCCAATGTGTCCAACAAATAAACTTGGAGTCATTTGAGTGAAATGGGAATGGCAGCTCCAGAGGTCTGGCCACAGATTCCCTTCCCACAGATTCCCTTCCCACTGTCCACAGCTATACCTGAAGGGCAAGGCCATAGCAATGTGGCTGTTCACAGCCAGTTCCTCTCCACCAGAGCACTGGATGTGCCTAAGGTGGCATCTCTGTCCTCATCCCTATTCAGATCCTCTTCCCTGATCACTGCTGCCCTCCACTTTCCTCTGAGTCACGCTCACTGTGCTAATCTGGCCTCTTCCTAATATATATGCAAATATGTTAATTGCAGAGCATTCTCACACTCTCTGTCTGCGATTGCCTAGGGTCCCTGATACTCAGAAATGTTCTTCCCCAATCACACAGGGCTTCCCAGTTGCTAGTCTCATTTCTGCTTCAGGCTGCTTCTGCCCACACCTGTACTACAGATAGACTTCAGAAGAAGGAGCTCTTCTTGAAGAAGTGAATGGACTATGCTGATTCCTGCTATCTCTTCTTGGCCCTGTAAAATACCCCTGACAGAAGGAGTGGAACTCTTTGCCATTAAGCAAGGAAAATATACTGTATTCATTCCTACTGCAACAAACTACCATTATTATGGTGACTTAAAACAGCACAAATTTCTTATCTCACAGTTCTGGTAGTACATAGCCCAAAACCAATTTTGCTGGACTAAAGTTGGAGTGTTGGTAGTGCTAATTCTTTCCAGAGGCTT